TTTTAAAGTATTAATTATAGTAATGAAATAAAAAAATTGCTAACTTAGTTAAATTTTTTACATAGTTGTTTTTTTTTTTTGTTTTTTTATATTTTATATTTATTAATATAAGAGTTTTAAATATGAATATTTGTAAATTGTTACTACATATAATTAAATGTATGAAACATTTATAAATTTACTTATTTCATTTGAAAAGTACAGTTTAAAATTTTATATAACTAAAATATGTAAAAATGTAATTGTTATTATCATTTGACGTAGAGGTTTTACTTTTGACATAGAGGTTTTACTTTTAAATAATTCTTTATAGTGGTTAATAGAATCATTATATGTTTTGCTGTTGTGATGGTATAGAAAAAATTTGAATAATAGTAAAAATAGTTCTATATATCGTTGTAGTCATTGTACAAGCACTCCTTAGCACTTTGGAGTATATACATTATGGAATACAAAAGAAGACATCAAAATTTGTAAAAAAACCTTTCTATGTCCAAAACATGAATAGATTATTTAATGTAGTAATAAGTAAAACGTAAGGCAAAGATGATCGTTATCATTATTGAGCCAAAATCAAGAAGGATATATATTTATGACCATCCCGAGTCGTTTTTCTGTTTTCTTAACAATTGCTAATTGATGACCTGCAAAGATTCACAATAATGAATTACTAACATAGTTGAATGATGAGGTATTCATGCTAAAATTTCTTTAAAGAAAAGGATGGCACACTAAGTATATAGCGAATTTGCGTTAACTTTGATAATTAGTGGAAAAGATTAGTCCTAAATAAGATTGGATATGGAAAACGTGCATAATTTAGTTTTCCAATAATAAAAAATTATTGCAACCATTAATATTAATTGTGCAACTGTAAATGGTACATTTACCATTCTGCTTTGGCACAATATATGAACTACACATGTAGCCTGATGGTAAATGAGATACTGACTCATAGTGTGTAATGAAGTATACAACAACATCAAACTTTAGTTTTTTTTTTCACAAGTTATGAATATATTCTTTTATATCTCCACCATAATACACAAGAATGTATGAAATCTGTAACAAGCAAGAAATATTAGGGAACATATTTTGTTTATGGAATCTAATTGACGTTTTTTAAATGCAAAAGAAAACTATTCGCAAATAACTTTAAACACAACCAATATCCTACACTTTGAAGTACAAATGCAAATAGATGAGGAAATTCAAATGTGCGGCTATTTACTTGAGTAGGTTATTTTATCTTTATTTGAAGTAAATAGAAAGTTCTATTACAAATGAAATAAATATGTGGATAAAAGAATACGTATAGTCATACTTTATAAATAATAAACTTTTTTGTAAAACATAAACTTTCGAAAACATTTAATTTTTTGTTTGATTAATGTTTATATAGATGCATTATGATTCATTTCTCTAAAATAAATGCAAAAATACATTTCGAGAAAAGAAAAAATTCTCGTCTTAAAAATTAAATATCAATTTGATTACTTAGAAGGATAAGATAACAGAGAAAAGATGGACACTTATAGAAATGGTAATACAAACTGACATCCAAAGCATTATGAAGATACGCAATGGTATATCAAAAGTTTTAGCAATACGAGCATGTGATATTTTGAATATGGAAAACATATGTTAACAAATATAAAACTTTGAAATACAAGTCATGTATTATGAATAATAATGTACTACAAATAAGAAAGCTTATTATTCAATTCTCTTTCTTGAGTTCTAAGTCACAAATTCTGGTAAAATGATTTTACTATAGACTAAATTTTATTAAAAAAATAAACTTATTGAAATTTTATTATTTAAATACATCAACATTACAATTACTAACCATAAGTAGAGGGATTTGTAATAATAGGCTGAACTTTGAAAAAATCATCGTTCTCACATTTGGTTTTGTGCATGCTGGACTACTCGAAATATAATAAAGCATAATCCTCTAAATCCACACACAAAATTCATACTTTTCTTCTCAAAATGAATTAATTTCTCAAAACGCTACAAAACAGAACTTAAAAAAGTCGCAGCCTTCAGTAATTTTCAACAAAAAAAATCGATGAAGCGATAAAATCAAACGATAAAAAATCCAAAAATTCATGAAACAGAAGAACATGAGAAGATTTTCAAATATTCCTGAATGGAAAGAGATCAAAGAAGTGTGTAAAAAGTAAAAAACGTACCTTTTGTCGACGAAATTCTTTTAAGAGTTGCAACACTTTCATCTTTTATACTAACAAATTTGAAAAATGCCCCGACCTTTCATTTGAGAACGATAACTAGCTTATTATTTTGAATAGACAAACATTGGTATATATGTTAATATAAGACAACATTGGAAAAAAATAGTTACCAAGACTGTGCAATCGAAGTCTAATGAGTAGAAAGAATTAATTTTAAGCAATTTAAATCATCGTAGTAGGTTGCATAACAATATGTCTTTTTCATAAGCTCTATTACACTCCGCAACCAGTGATGTCACCTAATCAATGAGGAAAAAGTAGTAAAACAATAAATACTTAATTAGCGAATATCAATTTAAATTTTAAGCATTTTAAAATCAATTTACAAATAAAGCATTTGCTTTTATCATTATCATATAACTTGAGAATTATATAAAAATTTATAACCCATACGGCATTGCATCATCATATAAGAATGTTTTAATAATACAAAACTACCGACACTATGTATTGAGTAAATTGTTCACTCTACCTATTTAGAAAAAAGTCTTCTTAATAAAAGTGTCGTACTCACCAATACATACAAATAGTAATATATTTTTAACGTTTATTAGTATAAGAAATATGAAGACACGAACAAAAATAGACAAACTATTAATTGACTAATTGCCTAATTTCTTTTAACGAGCATGATTGACCAACTTTAGTTTGCTATTAATCCTAAGAAATAATCCGAAAATATGCTTGACAATTAAAAAAAAATAAGAAGAGACTTCTATGTTTGTAACTTCCACCATTACCAGGAATGAAAAGAAATGAATGTGATTAAGCTTGTTAAGAAGTTCATTAAAATTAATCTTTTTTCATCCTTTACCGTACAAATATAAACTATATTTGATGGATGACATGTTTGCTGGTATAAAGATGAAAATGTAAGTTAGCAATCACTTGTTATTACAGGTAAAAGTTTCTATCTTTAAATAAACAAAAACAAAAAAAAAGCATAAAGTGGTTGAAACTGTTGTAAAAACCAATAAAGAAAAAAAAAAGCAACATAAAAGTAAAGCATATCAAACGAAAGTCATTTATATAAATGACGCTAAATATTTAGTTAACCCTCTTGAATTTAAGGTAGACTTCAAACGAATTAACAAAAGAAGTAAAATCTAGATATTTAATCTTTACAACTCATATAAAAACAATGAAACTAATTGATAATAATAAATTATATTGAATTCAAACAAAAGTAAACACATACCTTTGAAAAGATTGTAGTTTTATGAATGTATAAATGAAAAAAATTTCTTTCTACACTACATTCTTAGTGCATGCATTGTGTAAATTGTCTGCATTTGACAATTTCAGTAAAACTTTCAAATCTTGTGCTTTATTTATTATCATTGCAAAGTAAGGTCTAATTGGGAATTGAGTCACCTTAGATTGAATTGAATTTCGATCATTTTGAAGAGGTACAAAGGGGATCCTTGGTAAGAACACATATTTTCCATGATATTCACCAATTGTGATTTAAGCCAAAATTACATTTCTATTAAATTTCTGACAAATAAGGCGTGTCCTATTGCATAAACCTTCAAAAGGATTGATATCCGCAATAATATTATTGGACAATTTACCTTAAGTTTCAATTCATGTTGTGGAATACCATTTGGTGTCAAACTATTCAAAATATCTTCCTGCGAGCTCTGTTCTGATTTGTCCATCACTTCATCAAAACTATAGTATGTAAAAATTTCATCAAGAATTTGATCGAGAAAAATTTTGTTAATATAGTTAACACATTCATTTTTAGGAGTAAGAATAACTCCGTTCATCATGTCATGTAAATTATCAGCATATGCTTCTATATTAGGAAAAACATGATGTATCAAATTTTTTAAAGATGTGATTTTATCTTCAAATGGTAAAATTATACTGTTTAAAAGCTGAATGCAATCACAACTGTGTTTTTTTTCTGAACCATCTCCAATTCTAAGTAAGTAATCACAAAACATAGGATCTAATTTTGCTCTTATATTTTCAACTAAAGGTAGTTGTAAATATAAAGGCCATAAATCTGAGAAAACTAAGCTAGCTTTCATTATGTCTTCTTTTTTCTCTCTTGGTACTACTAGTAGAACCTGTCGAAAATATCCTTCAAGAATTATGACTTTCCCACCAAAAGGCAAGTCACAATCGGTAACATCTCTAAGTATTTTCTCCACAGCTTCAACGGCACGATAATTTACCATGAGTGCTTCATCCCAAATTATTAGCTTACACATTTTTAATAAAGTTCCCAAAGCCGATTGCTTACTAACAGAAAGCTAACTTCACCAACTGTTTCTAAACGAATTTTAAATCTCGAATGAGCTGTTCAACCTCCGGGTAAAAGAGATACAGATACTCTAGAGGATGCCGTTGGTAAAACAATTAAATTTTAAGATCTTACCCCAGCTAAAAGTGCTTTGTATAAAAAAGTATTCCCTGTCCCCCCCCCCCCCCCCCCCCCCCCCCACAAAAAAA